TAAGAAGTTTACTCGTAGCTTTGCTACCCTAAGTGGCCACTGCCTTTTGTTTTCAGTGTCTTAGTAATTTAGTATGTTCTTGAACTCATTACAGAGCTCCAGGGTGGCCTTGAGCTCGCAGTAATTCTGCATTATCCTACTAGTGTTGAATTTATAAGCGTACACCACCACTTCCAGGTAGTCCTGCTTTCTTATTGGACTCGGTGGACTCTTCCTGTATGCTACTCCTTAAAATGGAATCCCACATGTGCTAAGACAGTTCCCGAGTTAATACACTATGGAAAAATCGCTGTGAGAAAATATGAGTCCAGGAAAGACCAGGACACAATGGAATGGAGGGAGGGTCTGATGTGAGAGGTTAAAAATATGCAATAAGATAATTGGATTCGTGGACAAGTCTTTCTCACACTGTTTTTCTCAATTTATGCTAAGAAAATAAACATATACCAAAAAAGATTCGTTATTAAATAAATCCACTTCTTGGTGTTGAGGAAGAGAAACCTAAAGACTCCAGAATGTAATCTTCCTGGGTCCTGGAGTACCAGGCTCTCAAGCTGAAATTCTATCTTGCAACACTTTGATATTCCTACAAGAAAAATATTATCTGGCATCATGTGACACTCTTGACTAATATCTTGTTTGGCATGAGAAGTGGATACGAGGTCAGTAAAGTGCAGCTCTGTTGTGTTGAGTCATGAAGGTTGTGACAGTTATGTCCGTATCTCCTGCCTCTCCCTTCTTCTCTGGTACCAGTTTTGTTCTGTACTTCTTATTTCTTATATAGTAATTACTTTTTTTCATTCTAATGACATTCCTTCTTTGGAGTCAGATAACAAGCAACCCAATCTCTGAAACTATGAACTAAAATAAAAGTTTTATTCTTGAGTTGTGTATGTTAGGTATTTTGTATCTACACTAAGAACTTAATGAAATTGAGTCTGAGAAAAATAAAATGCCAAAAGCATCAACTATTTTTGTATAAGAGTCTACAAAAATTTTTTCCATGAGTGCTCTTCAGATGTTCTTCATATAAATGCTTTGACTCCAGCATCTCTCTGCATATCAAAACCACTTTCCAGGGAAAATATCATGCTAACCAGTAAAAACCATGAAAAGGACAAAACCTCCAATACAATTTACATGTTTATCATCTACTTTACGTTGCTCTGCAGCTTATGGCTGTCAACAGTCCTACAGCTATTCTGAGCAGCTGGAGGCAACAGAGATGCAGCTCAAGAGGGTCTAGGGGGATGGTCATGGCTCTTCCTCACCAGGCTCAAGATATGTCTCAGCTTTGAGTCACTAAACTTGTCTATTTGCCACTATAGTTTATTCAATCTGCTCTACCAATGTTGATGAGTTATATGACATCAATATACCAAATTTGTCTTTGAATATAAACCAAGAGAGTCTTTGTTTTTCTTATGTGCTTATCAATGAAGAACAAAAAATTTCTAACATTCTGTATGGATTTAAAACATGAATTGTTACTTACTGAAAAACAAAGTTGCCATGAAACTTATTTGCATATGATAAAATGTATAGATATGTTAATAAAATGTGAATTGTCCACTGCTTCCTGTGTATTGGTGGTTTCCTTACTCTTCCAGCTGAATACTGTCCCAAGATACCCTGTGCCTAGGGATTTTACACACTGTTTATCTTTTAGAACAATCTCTCAACCCTCTCACAGAGCTATAGTTGCATCAACCTTTTTCTCTTGTCAAATCCTAAGCACTATATAAGCTCCTCTCCCTTTCGAAAGTGTAACTGCTCTAAGTTTTAATCTTCTGGAGGCTGAATCACATCCTTCTATTTCAACTGTTTGTTTAAATGGTGTTACAGTGACTATGTTGATATTTTGGATGAATTCACAAATATGTACTAATAAGAAATTTAAAAAGATTTAAGGAATTGAAATTATTATCAGGCAAAATAAAAATTGAATGAAAGGGTTAGACTTAAAGTGGTAACAAATGTCCAAGAAAGCGCAAAAGCAGTTTGAGGAATTTCATAAAGGAAGGAAAATAAACACAGAGAGCGTATAGTTAAGATAATGACATAATTTTCTCAAGCTGAAAAACATGAGTTTCCAGATCAAATATAACACTGAATAGACTACAGTGAAATTTTAGAACATTTATATTAGAAGACATTATTTTCCTATTTTCTCTACTTCACAAATATTTTATTGGTAATATGGAAGATTTCAAAAAATAACAATATGATGTAATCAAAAAATATGAGAAATATTTAAAATAATTATTACAGAATGATACTTTTCCATGAATTCCCCTCAAAATTCTCTTCAAATTTGTTGATTTTATTATCAGTGATGGTATTAACAGTTATTTTGAAGAAAACAAGTCATTATAATAGCCATTGATTTAATATCATCTTGCTTTGAAGTCCTACCATGCTTTTGTTCTTCTGTTTCCATTGGTTCTATCATGTTATATCTTATTGGATTTTATTATGTGTGATAGTATAAACAAATTTTTTTTATAGAAAATGAGACATTATTTTCCATTGTTCATTGTTCATTTTTGGTTATTTGGTTCTGAATGCCCTGTAATACTTTCATTCTCTTGAATGGTTTTATATTATTTTGTTATGCTTGATACTATTGTATGTGAAGGTATGCTCAATTATTTCAAAGAAAGAAACATTATGGTAGCTACTGTTAATATCGGGTTGTCTTGTGGTGAAATGCTGTGTTGCTTATGTTGTTCTGTTCTGATTGTTTTGTCCTCTTGTCTTAATCTCTTTAAAATAAAAAAATTTTTTAAAAATTCTCCTCCAATTTGAACATACTTATCCATCATTTCCCCCACAATTTACAGCTGTTCTAGAAAGTCATATTTCATTACCATAACTCTGTGGCTGCCTTACTTATGGTCCCAAATCAATTCAAAATGCTTACATTGATTTTTATCAAATAAATTTTTTTCCTGTGTCCCCATCCACCTTATTTTTTTGATCTACCACTGTCTTATGGCTTTTCCCCAAAGTACAAATGACCATGCCAAATACATATTTTTAATTGATTTACAACATTGAGACAGCCACAACAGCAAAACTAAAGACATAAGAGAGGACTTAAAGAACTGCTTTTGAAAGTAGCAAGAATGTTGACATAAGTGAAGCAGAGTATTCTGAAGGAAATTAATGACCATGCATCTTTTACTGCAGTAGTTGTTTTAAAACTTAAACGTTCACTGGATGTTTTAATCACAATGCAGAAAGGTTATAACATATAAGCAGGAAATAAAGCTAAGTAATAGTTTTAGATTAATTCTGAGCTCTTCAAATTAACACATAGAAGAGGGAGCAAATTGACAATGAGACTAGAGGCCAGGCTCAATCAATGCACTTGAATAAAAATGAGAAATAGGAAACATGTATCAAGTATAAAATAATGTGCCAAAGCACATTACACATATCAATCATCATATTAAGTATGTTAATTAAGCTGAGCATGGTGGCTCACACCTGTAATCCCAGCACTCGGGAGGCTGAGGCAGGAGGATCATTGCAAGTTCAAGACCAACCTGAACTGCACAGCAAGACCCTCTCTCAAAAAGACCAAAAAAAAAAAAAAAAAAAAAAAAGGATGAACAAAACAAACTAAGATAACAAAAAATCCCCAAACTTTAAGGCCAGTTTTAGCCTTAATAAATGAAATTTTAAAAATATGTTTGATATGTTACTTCCTCCAAGAATACAATATCCAATATTTATTGAGTATTTATTACCTGACACAAGTGCTTTCCAAGCAGGCATTATATCTCATGGCGCTTAGTAGAAGCCAGTACTGTCCCATTTCTGCTATTATTATTGCTCTCATTCATCAGTTGGAGAAGCTAGTTCATTTATTGGCTGTTTAAGAGCAAGGCCTCAAACTTTATAGCATAGAGTTAATATCCTACCTTTGAAATACAGCAAAATCTGTTAGAAATATTCTTGATACTTTCTTTTTATGCTCTAAAGTCCTTTTGAAATGTTTGGATTTATAATTTATCTAGAATTTGTATCACGAATGATGTGAAATTGAGATCTAAAGATCCTTCAGCAATTACCCTAACAGCTCTTCCTTGCTCCCTCTAACTCATAACTGGATGTTTACATATGCCTGAGTCTGTTTCTGAGCTTTGCTATTTGATTTATATATGTCACAATAACACAAAATATCTTTAACTTATAACCATAGCATATTACTCAATGTCCTCCATTTATTTCTTCCAAGACTATGTTTTCACCTATCCTATACTCTCAACTTGAAACTTTATCATCCCATTAACTATTGTGCCTTTGTGCCTTTGGAACACTTCTGCCAAGTTTGATTTCTCCTTCACAATTAATGTTTTCAAGAAATAATCTGTTAATGAAGCGTTACCACAGCATGTCGAGTTAGTTCTATGGGGACCGGGCAACTCATCATCCTTTGGAAAGCTCCTCTGCACTCATTTATCTGTCCCGTTCTTGTAGTGAGGCGCGTCTCACTGTCTTTTTAATCTTAGTCCCTAGCATGATGCTCTTCAGATATTTATTGAAATATATAATACACACATGCGCTTTAGGAATAATGGATAGCACAGACATGGTAACAGTAATTGTTTCTAGGGAGTAAAACTGGGATGGAGTTATAACCTCCCCTTTGAACTATTTCTATATATTTACATTAAAATACATATTTTTGTTACGTATTTACATAATACACTTTAAAGAGACATGTATTTTCTTAAACAGGTTTACATAGCTTATTTCTAGTGAGAGAAGCAAGTTGTTGAATAAAATATATATATTACTATTTCTAAATACTATACAGATAAGAAAGAAGAAAAAAATCACCGAAGGTGTAAGTAGGCTTTTATAGAGTACTGATTTAAAGCAATGGAACAAGGCATAAGGATATGAGGAAGGAGGGGACGGAAAATTAAATATCACGCATCCCTCACTTGCCAGCAAGCACCACCCCTCGCCACACCCCCACAGCATACCTCAAATTTGGCGCAGCCTATCTCCGAGCCCTTAGGAACAAACCCGGACCCTAGTCCCCCATCAGACTTAAGACCTGCCCATCGGTATAGGGCCCGCAGCAGCTCCATCTTCCAGACCCCTCTGAGCCCCACCATTTGCTCAGTCACTGCAGAGAGAAATTACAATTTCTTCTTTCAGGTTGAAAGAGGAAAGGAGTCCTACAGAGCAATCCGGTCCCAACAGCCAGAACCTGGCTACTTCCGCTTCCGGCGACTCAAGACCGGAAGCGGAAGTATGTTGGGCCGCTGGTCGCAGAGGCTGTTGCGGACCATGCGGAGTGAGGCAGTAGGAAAGTCTCTCTGGTGTGCAGGTGCGCCCCGCCTTGGGGAAGGCGGGGAGGGAAGGGATTGCTCATGTGACGCGGTGAGCGCCCGGGAGCGAGGCGGCCTGGGCCGAGGTAGTGTTTTTTCCCCATGGTCTTCCGGTTCCAGTGTGCGGTCCTCGCAGCTCGGTCTTGCAACAGGGCGCCCCTTGCGCTCCACTATTGGAGTCGGCAGAGGACGGTATCATCCTGTCAGAAAGGAAGCCCGGGAGTCCAGTCCAGGACCCTCCCCACCCACCCAGGAATGCGGTGACACAGAGCCCAAGTCCTCACCTATGCTCTCTCATGTGCAGAAAATGTGCATCACGGGCCCCTGCCCTGCCTTTCTCACAAGATGACTGAGTGTTAGTAATTACCGTTTTATTTCTTATTTAATATTATGTAGCTTTGCAGCTTGTAAGGTAGGCATAGTCTATATGTGCAAATTGATTTGAGTGACTTGTCAGATTTGTTTTAAAAATTGAAAATATGAAGAAAACAATCCGATTAATCTGATATATCTGTATAAGAAAAAATTTTTGATGACCGACGATTTGTAATTCCTTACTAAGCTTATTAGCTTTGCTTTGCTTCTGTCCCTTTTCCCCTTCTTTCTTCTTTTAAGTGAATATTTATTCGTAAATTTTACTTTGGCTATGGGTCATCAATTTTGCATTAGTTACTTTTTCTTCATTATAATGTGAAGATACCTTTTTTAAAAAGTTGTTTCTCAGGCACAAATGTTATTATCAAAAAAAAAAAAAAAGACTACTTAATTCTTTCCAAATTGGCTGCAATCCTTACTCAAAACTTGGTAGCCACAAATCATGAAAATGTACTTGACTCCAAGGAAAGTGTGGAATGTTTTGTTAGTACCAAAAATTGAAATTGAATTTGTCATAAATATGATATCCTTTTAAAACAATGGACTAATGCTCACTTCTACGGAGATATGAGATACAGTTAATTCTAGAGGAAAATTAAAGGTCAGATTTCAACTTTAGAATAAAGTGTTTGTTTTCCAAAGGAATACGTTCTTGCCTTGCCCTTCTATAAAGAAGTAGCATTGTTTCCTAAAGATACTGGAAATCTATCATTGTGATTTATGATATGTGATGAACAGGCATTTAAAGTAATTTTTACATTTTTGTCACAGTGTTCTCTGTATGTCTTTTTAGATTTGTTCTACTGAAAAATTCCTGAGTACTGTTGATTTTTAGACACATTTTCATTCCTGCACCTTCAATGAATTAGGCTTTTAATGGTAGGAAAAGTAGCTAAAATAGAGTACTTGTCCCTGCGGAGATTTTTTTTTCCAGCTGGGAAGAGGCGTTTCAAATTAATATTGACAAGCTTGAGGAATATGTCTAGGGAAATATCTGAACAGAGACAAGTGTTTGAACGTAAAGGATGTGTTGTATGTAGGTAACCAAGAGGTCTGGCTGTACAGTAGGGTTGTGAAGGAGACTTAGGGGAACATTTCACATGCACAGGAACTCCTCAGGTAGTACAGAGCCTGGTGTGTTCCAGTAGCTGAGAAAAGAGAGAAATCTAAATTAGAAAAAAGAAATCAAAATGGATGAGCTGGGTAAAACAAAGAGGGCAAGACCTTCAAGGTCATGGTAAACTGTATTGTAAGGTCTCTAGGAAGCCACTGTATCAGCGTTTTAAGGTCAAGAATGACAGGTTTACTTTTGTGAGTTAAAGTAGTGCTTCTGGATTGAACAAAGAGTTTTAGATAGACAGAAATGAATGTAGAGCCTACATAGGAGACTGAGTAAATTCAAGACCTTCATGTGAAACATCTTGTGATAGTAGTAGATGTAAAATCAGAAGATTTCAAATATTTGTGATATGAAATATTTGAGGTCAAGGTAGAATTGAGAGAATTTGATGACGGATGCATTTTGTGTAGCATGTGATCAGGGGTCATCAACTGATAACCTATGAACCAAATTTGGTCCTATTGTGGATAAAACAAATAGTTTTATTGGAGCCCATTTGTTTATTTGCTTTTTTTTTTTTTTTAACTATCATTACTAGGGATCAAACTCACGACCACCTGCTTGCAAGGCAGGTGCTTATGCCGCTGAGCTAAATCCCCAGCCCCTGGAGCCCATTTGTTTACGTAGTTCATGACTATTTCTGTACTATCACCATATAGTTAAGTAAAGGTGACAGGGATCTGATAGCCCGTATATGCCAAGACATTTACTGTTTTTGCAGAAAAAGTTGTCAGTCTAGAATACACTTTTGTACTTGGTATTTATGAGGTGCTGAGGTCCTGATATGAAGTTCTGAAAAGAAATGAGCACAGGTCTCTGCTTATTAGATTTATATTGTAGTTGGAGAGACCATGATAAAATCACCTTAAAAAATAAAGATGCATCACAATATTAAAAGGGTAGTGGAGGAAAAAACAGAAGGTTGGGAATACAAGATATTTTTTGAGGTGGGAAGAGCCAGTAGAAGTCACCATAGGCTATTGTCTGAAAGGTGACTTAGAGTCCACTGTGTTGCTTATTGAAATAAATTTCGTGTAAAGTTGTTAGCTTGACTGTCTTGCTGGAGGCTCACAAACAGGAATTAGCCTGGCCTGGTGCTGTTCCCATCCTTACTCCTTTTATCCCAGTTTTTTATTGTAGGAAGAGCATCTACTGAAACCTTAAGCCCTGGCACTTGTGTCATGGTGAGGAGGCGGGAAGGATTTGGATTCTTAGGTTGAGGGTATAACTGTCTACTCTGACCTCTGTTCCCTCCAATCATCCTCCCAACCGAGGAAGAAGGGAGGGAGTATGGAGCATCTTCGTTGATGGCCCACGCTGCCTGGGAACACCTAATGTGAATGGCTTCTAGAGGGAACTGCTGTGCCAGGAGTGTCCCAAGATAAATCCCAAGACTGTGCCAGCAGGGCTTCTGCAGGGGTATCCCTGGCATCCCTTGTGAGTCCTACTGAAAGTATCTATGGCCGTATAAATTTCAGTGGGTTAGGATTCTATGAAATTAAAGACTCAGTTTATTAGTCATCTTACCCATATTCCTCAGTCTCAGCCACCACACACACTGCTGGTTCCCGTTTACAAAGACACAGGCAAACGATTCTCATCACACAGCACAGCTCTGTAGTATTTGGAAATTTAAAGGGCTTCTTAGATGCAGGAGGAATCCTTTATATTTGTTTCATTTTGTTTTTTGAGACCTGGTCTCGCTATATAGTTCAGTGTAACCTTAAACCTTCTGTGTTGTCAAAGTCAGTCTCAGTTTTGTAGTGATTGTCCTGCCTCAACCACACAAGTCCTGGTATTGCAGACGTGTGCCACCATGCCTGGCTTGGGAGTCCATTCTTTTAATAGGCATATATAATTATTAGATCCCAAAATGGACCCATGGTGTCTGGTTGATCTTACTGTAGTTTCAGTCAGTCAGCATCAGTAGGAAGAAGCGTAAGTATAGGACAAGATGTTTAGAGAGTGAGGTTTTGTATTGTGTGTGGTGTCAGGCATAGACTTGGGGGTCTTAGAATATGTCCTCTGAAGATTAGAGGAAAGTGCTATGTCACAGGAAGGATCCTTCACAAAAATAAAGAGATCAAGCTCAGATTTGTGAGGTCATAAATAAGGAATTTAGGAAAATCACCTTAAGCTTCAAATGACAGGCTCTACCATCATGGTTCAAAGGAGTCATGATATTAGAGCCAGAAATTGTACTTCAGGATTTGTACAAAAGTAAAAAGAAAGTAAACATTTCTAGATTGGTCGGCCTTATGGTCACTGTTACATCTACTTATTTCTGCTATTGTACCACAGAAATAATTGTAGATATATTAACAAATGGATATGACTGGATGCCAAAAATACTTAATTTTTAATTTTTTTTTTTTTTTTTTTTTTTTTTTTTGGTAGTGGGGGTTGGACTTAGGGCCTTGAGGCTGAGCTACATACTCGGACCTTTTATTTTGAGACAGTCTTGCTAAGTAACTCTGGCTAGTATTAAACTTGTGATCCTTTTGCCTCAGCCTCCTGAGTAGCTGAGATTATAGGTGTAACCTTAAACCTAGCTCAGAAATAATTTTTTTTTTTTTTGAAAAGGTAAGAGGCTGGGTCGGTTTTCCTGTGGTATAGAACACTCCTTGTCTGCATGCTTTTTTTGTTTTGTTTTGTTTTGTTTTGTTTTGTTTTGTTTTTTATTTACAGGATCTCACTAGCAATAACTAGTTGTCCCTCACAGTGATAGAGTTTCAGCTGTTTGCTGAAACAGAACACATGTTCCTGTTCCTGTTCTATCACTTTGGAGGATGTGGTTGTGGAGCTTCAACAGGAGTTAATATTGCTGGTAGGTGTGTGGTGGAGATTTTGCAGATCAGTGGTCCTGGATAAGTACAGGATCCTGGCTTAGATGAGAAAGGTTGGTGTTGTGCAGTTCCATGTTGCATACATGTACCAAACATGACTTTAATCATCTCCTATGTAGACAAGATAGAGTGGCTTTAGCTGCATCATTTGGCTTTGACTTCATTCTTTCTGCAGTGAAGACCTCACTCAGCTTGGCTGTAAACTTCAGATGTTAAAGAGCCTTACTTAGCCTCGTTGGCAGAGAGGGGAGCATTTTTGTATTTTGTTGATAGTAATTCATTATTTGCTACTGTATCAAAATACCAGAGTGCATTTAACTCCTAATTTGGAGGCTGGACAATCCAAGGTCAGGCAGCCCAATGTGTTCTGTGTCTAGTGAGGACCTCATGGTGGGTAGCATCTCGAAGGTGGGATCACATGGTGAGAAGGTGAGAATTGAAACTAGAGATAAGGAATCTGGGTTTACTTTTTTTTTTTTTTTAGTAGCAACCCAGTGTGTGAACCAGTACTAATCCTGTGAGATCCACATAAATTCCCTCCAAGGACAGTGCTATCATGAGCTAATCATCTTCCATGTCTTAAAAGTTCTACTGCCTCCTGATACTACTGTGGTGAACACCAAATTTCTGGCACCCAACTCGGTAGTACATATACACTCAAACCATATTTCACCCACAGAGCTCTCGTGAAAAAACAGTTTACTTAATAGTGGTTATGATCCCCTTGTTACCTACTCAGTCACCTGTACCATCTAAAGCCCATGCCAAAACTAGGCCTGCATGAATTTGTTTCCTATATGAGCCCCCTGGTCCTCTGTGTGTGTTCTTCACCCATGAACCTGCAAACTGATTCTTCTCTAATGGGAGCAAATCAGAGCTAAAGAGAGCAGAATGAGAGATTCTCCATGCCATGGGTCAGTACCAGGGAGATCACAGTTCTCATGATCCATGTTTTTAGGGACATGCCCTGGGACCTCTCACTCTGGGAGCATTTTACTTTTTTAAATTTTATTT